GACGTGGAGGGCTATGACCCCAATTCTACTAAACTCAGCATCTCTCTTATTACTATAAAAGGTAATTGGGATACTATATATGTGTGTGTGTGTGTGTGTGTGTGTGTATGTGTGTGTGTGTGTTATATGTATGTACTATATATAGTATATATATTTGTTTAGATAATATAAAATTACTTTATTTATATTGAACTTGATATAAATGAAATCACACAGGATATAAAAAATGTTTTGCATCAGATTTCTTCAGTTCAATGTAATGCCTGTGAGATTCACCCATGTGTGTAGCATTGCTGTGTAACATTCCATGAATAAACCACAATTTATCCATTCTCCTGTTAATAGACATTTGAGTTGTTCTCAGTTTGGGCTATCATGAAAAAAAAGTGGTTGTGAACATTTTTGTATGTATCTTTGGGTGGATCCATCATTTTCTGAGGTGATTTTTTTTTTGCTGATGCCAAGGAAATCTATTGCTTTTGTTATGATTTTAGTGTTTGGCCATCTTACTAAATTCTAATAGTTTTTCAGTTCATTTTCCTTGGAACACACTTGTATCAGATAGAAAGCTTTTCACACCAAGTATCAGAAAACCCAGCATAAATTGGATTAAGGCCCAAAGAGTAAGATTTGACTCCCCCACCCCTGCCCCATGCCTGCAGGGTTCACTGTGGGTCTAGTTTCAGGCATGGCATGATCCAGAGGGCAGATGTCATCAGGGCTCACATCCATTTCTCCAGGTTCCTCTTGACTCTGTCCTCTTTTATATTCTGCCTTTGACCTCATCCTGGCTCTTCCTCATAGTAGCAACAAGTGTATCAACTGTTTCAGAATGAGGTTCTCACTGTACAATCTGGAGGAAGACCATACTCTTTAGGGAACACTCATAAAGAGTAAGGAGGCTTCTTCCTCCAAGTTCCCAGTCAGTATTGCCTCATATACTTTGATCCAAATTGGATAACATGTGCACCTCTGAGCCAATCAAATTTTGTGATCAATAGAACAGTATGTTCTGATTGGCCCAACCTGATTAGGGACCATCCCTACCCTCAAGGAAGTCAACAATTCCACCAAACCACATGGCCATCACATAGGACAGGGCTCTTGAAAGGAGGATTGGGGGCTTTTGATTGAAGAAGGGAGTGGATACAAGAGAAGGAACCACAAAATATTTATTATGGCAATTATAGCAGAATTGTATGCCTATAATGGTTATTCATTGTCTCATTTCAGCAGTAATATTTGTTTAGCTTTGTCCCTGTCTCAACATGTTGACTGCTGCATGAGGTCTTTTAAATTTACATGGAATGATATAAATGGTCTAGAGCTCTTTGAGAAGTTTTGAGAAAGATGTCTATAAAATAGAAGGGCAGAGGGGAAGACTAAGCAGCAAATGTTTCTTCATATTTGATGTGTGATGCTTGAGATGACTCTGATGGCTAAGGATCTAGAAATGAAGAAGTCTAGTTAAGAGATGGTTGAGATGGACTTGATAATGTGGGGAGGAATTTTAGTTTTTCTGTTTTTATGTAACCAGTTACCAAAGCTTTAGTACTTCAAAATAACACAAATTTATCATGTCACAGGTCAGAAACCTCACAGGTTTTTATAGGTCAGAAGTCCAGTCACAGTTTAGGTGGATTGTCTGCTCAGGAGGGTCTCACAGTTCTGGAGTCAGTGTATCGGCCAGGCTGCATTTTACCTGATGCTTGGGGTCCTTTTCCAAGCTCATGCCAATTATTGGCAGAATTCAGTTACTTGTGGTTGTAGGACTGAAGTGCCATTTTCTTGCATGACCTTACTATTGGCCCAGGTCATTTTCAGCTCCTAGAGTCTACCCTCACGCACTGGCTGCATAGCCCTCTCCAGCGTGTTGACTTACTTCTTGAAGGCCAGAAGGAGCCTCTCTCTCCAGTCTGCTGTGATGGAGTTTTAGATGGCATAACATACTCCTGGGAGTGACCATGCCATCATATTCATGGGTCCTGTCCACACTCTTGAGGAAGGAGATTATATGGGGGAGGGGATAGGGTGCGAAGTTTGGGGACTACCTTCTAATGCTGTCTAGCATAAAAGGCAAAGGCAATTACTGCCCCAAGTTGTATGGGTTACATAGCACACTGACCAGGAAATTCACTAAGCTTAGAAATAGATACTGAGTTGTATTATAATACAAGTATATATAAATATATACATGTATATACACATATAACATGAAGAATTGGGAGAAGAAATTATAGTTTCCAGTATGTAAATATTTTTTAAAATGATCAGACATCTAAATTTTCTATACATTTCATAACCTGTCAGTTGATCTAGTACTATCCCAACAATTTTTAATCACTACAATTTGTAGAGTGTCTTTTAAGTTCACAAAACACTAATATATTTCATTTGGCTCTTCCCGGAATATTGTGCATTCCTAATAGAAACAGCTAGCCTATGGAGCCCACACAGCCATCTCTAAAGGGCTTCCCTGGTAGCTCAGCTGGTAAAGAATCCACCTGCAATGCAGGAGACCCCAGTTTGATTCCTGGATCAGGAAGATCCCCAGGAGAAGGGATGTGCTGTGCTGTGTTAGTCACTTGAGAAGGGATAGGCTACCCATTCCAGTATTCTTGGGCTTCCCTGGTGCTCAGACAGTAAAGAATCTGCCTGCAGTGTGGGAGACCTAGGTTCAGTCCCTGGGCTGGGAAGATCCTCTGGAGGAGGGCATGGTGATGCACTCCAGTATTCTTGCCTGGAGAATCCCCGTGGACAGAGGAGCCTAGTGGGGTTGCAGTCCATGGGGTTGCAAAGAGTTGGACATGACTGAGTGACTAAGTACACAGCACAGGCTGTGGGCTGTGCTTTTGCATTTGCTCTTGTAGTTATATTAGCTCTCAGTTCTTACTTACACATCGAAGTTCATGTGACACCAAAGCGTCCAAACATGTAGACTACATGCTGTTTCACACTTTCGTTTCTTAAACCATGTGGTTCACTTTGCATAAAATGTCTTGGCTTGTTCACTCAGGAAAACTATATTCATCCTTGAAAGCCCCCTTTTTTAGACCATGCTTGAAGAGCATCACTCTTGAGAAATCCTTGTGTTGTTGTGTAAGGACTGGATAGGGAGGGCCTACAGGTTGACATGTGCAAGTCAGGCCCAAACTGCATCTGCTTCAGACATCTATTGGAAAAACATTTGGCAGCACTCAGAGGCAGTGTTCAAAAAAGCATTTATTATTGAATAAACGATGTGAGTGCTTGACTTATAGTGGCTCATTTAAGCCTCCTAAAAACCCAACCAGGTAGTTATGGTTATTTTCCCATTTAGTGGATGAGAAAACCAAGACACAATAGGCTCAGTGCTGGAGTTGGGGTTCAAACACATTGTGTGGTCTTTCACCTCCCTACAGTAGTGACAATGTCAGTGTCTGCCCCACAACACAGAATTAAGTGAGATGGTGCCTGTCAAGTGCCCAGTGCCTGCCGTATAGTACATTTACAAAGCGTGAGGGATATTTTTTACTTGTGGCAAGGAGGCTTCTGTTTTCTTCTTCTTTTGAGCAGGAGATAGAAAAAATTCAAACATTCTCTGACCCCATTCTCCCCACAAACGCCTCACCCTTGTTTGACTGTATAATTTCTTTGTTTAAGGAAGCCAGGGATCACTTTTTATTTGGAGGAGCAGAATTGAAAGAGGGCACAGGTACAGAATTTACATCTGCAAATGAATCCCATGGGTCAGGGAGGGAGCGGTGTTTTCCAAGTGCCACACAGGAGATGTTCAATCATGGAAGTTCCTCCCCTACCCCTTCCTTTTTGAGCTGTATTTTGTCCACAGTATGCCTCAGAGACCTTGCATAGAATTCTTGCAGGAGTCCATACACTTGACTTTCACTTCTAGGAAAACTCGGAGTGAAAGTTTTCAGTGAAAATTCCGTTAATTTAAGCTCTAATGAGAAGACTGATCACAGTTACAAGATTGCTTCCTTAGAGCTGTGTTACCTTGGATATGTGACTTGGCAGCTCTGTGCCTCAGTTTCCCTTTCAGGAGAATGGAAATAGTAGTGGTTTGTGGATAAGGTATATGGAGAGCTTGATCTAGCCCTGGCACATAATAAATTATTCCAAAAATATTGCCCATTATCATCTCATTTAACCCTCAAAACAATCTTGTTAAATAGGGGTTATGATTATGATCATTGTCTTTACTTTACAGATGAGACCCCAAGGCTCAGACAGCTCCTGTGTTCCCCATAACACTGTGGCACGCAGCAATAGTTATTGATTATCTGTGAAGTTTCTTTTTTTCTTCCACTTTGCCTACACAGTGGGATGAAGTTCCATAAATGTCTTGGCAGGTTGACAGCTTATCATGAAAAGATATTAGCCACCTCTGCAAAATATTCAGACTTAAGAAAAATAAGATGATACAATAGATTCAATAGACCTTTATATTTCATTTTGTGGAAGTCTCTAAATTAATTTGGAACTAAGTATATGTGCAAAAGTTTAGCTACAAGATGTTCATCATAACTTGCTTAGATAATCCAAATTGTGGAAACAACCTACATGTTCAGCAGTCAATACTGGTTAGAGTAATTGTAGTTACACATACAATGAAATATTAAGCAACATCAAAAGGCAAACTGAAATCATGTATTTGTCAACATGGAAAAAAATGTTAGTGTAGTGTTGTGTGATAAAATGAAGTGCCAGTCCATTTCACAAAAGTATATTTGTATAAATAGCTGATACATAAATACAATATAATGAATACATATGCATGTAAAAACGTCTGAAAAAGTGTGACCAGAATTGTCACCTATGGTTGTCTCTGTTGGAATGGGAAAATATGGATAATCTGAATTTTTAATTTTCTTGTGTGTGTTTGAGGAAGTGTGTGTTTTCTGATCTTTATGCAATATATAGTAAGTTCTAATTACTAAAAAAAAAGGAACAGAAAACTCTTCCAAGTATTTATGTGTGCTAACACTGGTTGATCATTTTAGGTCATTGTGAAGACAAGAACGGAATATCAGCCTGAACAGAAGAACAAAGGGAAGTTCCGGGTGCCGAAAATTGCTGAATTTACGGTCAGTGTCTTGATGGTATAACAGAATGACTGCATGTCAGTCACTGAGTCTAGTCAAATAACAAATCTCTGCCTCTTGAGGATGAATTAGCCTCTCTCTTGCCCAGAAATGTTCAGACAATCTGATAATTGTTAAATGTATCTCATTTCTTCTTTTACTTCTGGTTCCTGTCTCTCTGCCTTTCTGTCACAGTCTCCAGGAAATGTGTAAAGAAATGCAAATTGTAGACAGTGGGTGATTGCAACAAATACAAAAAAAGACAAAGGGAGAGAAAAGTTGACTTAGTGGTAAAAACTGGATGGTTGAATTTCTGTTTCTTGGTGGAGGGGTTACTAGGAGAACTGAGGAGTATATATCACTGTGATGAATTGCATGAAGGAGCCATGAAACCTGCTCTGCAAGGATGTATGGAGGAACCTCAGGAGAGTACCGTGGGGAAGTCACATAGGGCTTAGGTGGCTGAGGAGAGCACAGCTTGTGCAAAGGCCCTGAGGCTGGAGGGGAGTTGGACCCAACACTGAATAGGCATAAGGGTGGTGAATCTGGGCTCTGGGAGAGGCGTGGGGAGCAGGCAGAGAGGAGGCAGGAGGAATGGGCAGAGGGCAGACAATCCTAGGCCTCATATGCTGTATGGAGGAATTTGGGTTTTTTTTGAAGAAACCTTAGAAGGACTTCAGGTAACAGAAGGACATGGTTACAGTTGGTTTTTAGAAAACACAGATTGGTTTTTACACGACTGACAGAGTGTAGTGGGCAAGAGGGAGCATGAGGAGACTGTTGGGCTACTGCATTTGTCCAAGTTCAAACACCAGCAGTGGCTTAGAGAAGGATGGTGACTGGGTCAGAGACCTAAAAGATATTTTGGAGGCAAAATCTGCCATGGAGGCAGTAGAATAAGTTGGTCTGTAGATGGATGCTGGAGCAGTCCGGCTGGGTTTGAGCTCTTATTTCTGCCTCATACCAGCCATGTGGCCACAAGCAAGTCAGTTGTTGCTGTTGTTTGGTCGCTAAGTCATGTCCGACTCCTTCCAGCCCCATAGTCTGTAGTCCACCAGGTTCCTCTGTCCATGGAATTTCCCAGGCAAGAACCTGGAGTGGGTAGCTGTTTCCTTCTCCAGGAGATCTTCCTGACCCAGGGATCAAATGCACGTCTCCTGCATCTCCTGCATTGGCAGGTGAATTCTTTACCACTGTCTACTTGGGAAGTCCAAGCAAGTCAGTAAACCTCACTTATCGAAGGGAGATACCAGAAGGTTACTGTGAGGATGATGTACAGGATACATGCAAAGCAGATGAAGTACGTGACTAATCGCAGCTATTTTGTGTCAACTGTGGCTCCGGGGCTTTGGACGTGAAAACCATCCTTGGTTGCTTGTCTGGGGATTGGAGTATGTATGTGGGTACATATACTGGTCTGCTTCTGTCCCTGTCTTTCTCCCTGCTAAATCTATATTAGAGCAGCTGGGAGTGTGAGCCTGGGAAGGAGAACGGCGCCTCTGTGTACATCCCCCAGCATGTGGGGCTTCCCTGGGTGTTGACCCCCTCTTAGAGGGCAAGTATTGCTTTTATTTCGGACTGCGGCTTTAGTGTCTGGCACACAGCATGGGCCCAGTGAACTTGGACCTGGCCTGAACTGCGTGCAGGTACCTACCTGCAAGGGCCAGCAGGTAGCCATGCAGGGAGGGTGGGAGTATCTTGGTAAACAATGAATGGGCACCAGGCCAGGGAGTAAAGCTGACCTGTCCTCCTAGCAGCAAAGATTGTTGGAAATATGTTCAGATTCATGAGCACAAATATTTACTGCAGTGTTCTTTGTAAACTCAAAGCATTGGAACAATGCTAGGTTTTCAGCAACTTTCTCATGATTCCATATGTAAGGCCACTTGCATAGGATGGACTAGTTCAACAATTTTTTAAGAACCACTTTTGCAGGGTGAGTAGTTTACTCTGAATTATGGGCTCATGAGATATTTTCTTCTTTCTTTTACTTTCCCAATTCCACAAGAGCATGACTTGTTACAATAATCAGAAAAAAATAAGAAGCATTTAAAAATTTTGCTCATTTTACCAAATAGAGTGTTACAGTTTTTGATGGAATTAATCCTTATTTAGCAATCATTTAAAATGATGGTTATGAAGACATGTGATAATTTGGGCAGATACTTATTATAGAGGAGGTTGAGTGAAAAAAGCAGAGTAAAACTGTATGTTTTCTATGATTGGAATTATGAAAAAACCACAAGTATATAGAGGAAAGAAATGTCTCAGAATATCATCTGTGTCTGTGTCATCAGCAGTGGTGTTGGGAACACGTTGTTTTGTTTTTGTTTCCTTTTTGTTGACAACTTCTGGTGATGTGGCTGTTTTATCATACAGTAAAACATCACATAGCATGCGGCCCATGGGTCCATGAGAGGCTGATATAGTCCTGTGGCCCACAGGTCCCTGAGAGGCTGATATAGTCCTATTTTTTTTCAAGAGGAACTTTAGCTCAGAGCAGCAATGCAACCTGCTCCCCCAGGAGCAAGTGGCCGGGACTTTCTGTTCATTCATGCGGCCTGCCATAGGTAACTATGGGTTAGAGCAGAAATGAGTCAGCCAGTGAGAAAAAATGAGTAATTCATCAGGGATCAGGGCCTGTGAAGCCCGCCCCCACCCCACAACTTGACTCATTTGGTCCTGGTGGTGGGAAAAAGGGTGCTGGGATTCGGGTCAATCCTTTGTCAGCACTGGTGTGGGTGGAGGGCCCCACCACTCAGAACAAAGTGGAAGGAATGGAGCAAATTTGTTTGCTTTTGTAAACTTGCGAGCATCCATTTGCCCAGCTTTTCACTTCCTTAATGAGAGCTCCCCCTGGGCCGCATGGAGGATGTTTCTACTGGGGTGATGGTTGATGCCACAGTCTAAGGAGGAGGCTTGTGGTGCCTGAGAGGAGTCTGAGGTTCTGAGCGTCAGCTGCAGGGGAACTCGGGCATCCAGGTGGGCTACTATGGAGGTGAACTTGCAGAACTTGTTCCTGGTTGGAGAATCAGGGGCTCCATCAGGAGCTCCTGGGTGCTTGGCTTGGCTGACTGGATAGGAGATGGGGGACTGGACAGTGGGGAGCACATTGAGTGGAGGGTACACGGGTACTATGGGAGAGGTGGGTGGGGGAGGCAGCCTGGCCACCCTTGGATGTAACTGGTTTGGGGCTCAGGATGGAAATTGAGGCTAGGGAACTGGAGCTTGAAGTCAGAGAATTCCCAGTTCATTTTAGAGATCATAAGGCTGATAAACAATGGCCAGGCGCCTCCTCCAGGATATCACCCACGGCAGAAGTAACCATGGGGATGACAGATGCATCCGACCCTCATTCCAGTACCTTCGAGGAGGTGGAACAGCTTGTGACTTCACAGCTCAAACCTGACCTGGGGAGATCAGCTCATAGCAATTGTACCGTGAGAGAGAATGAGAGGAGAGAGCAGGGAGGGAGGGATGAATAGAGAAAGATTGAAAGAATTGCCTAGAATTTTTTTTTTTTTTAACATGAAGGCTCTTGCAGTCATTGCCAAGGGTCACAGACTTGCGAGAACGTTCACCAGGCTTCTTTGAGAAGATGGGAGCATGCAGAGAGAAGCCCCGCCTTCTTTCTTAGTCCTGGGAGCTGGAGTTTCTTCTGAAGCTGATTCTGCTATGGAAGGAGCTGTTTGTCCCCAGGCTCACCTGAAAGAAGAAACTTGAGTCTTGCATTTGGAAGCTGTGCTAAGCTGAGGAGAGGTATTCTAAGGAACACCTGCACTTTGGGACTAGATTCACCTGGCAACTCAGGTCATGTCCCTGTCACCTCTTAGCTTCATGACCTTGGGAATTCTCTTCACCTCTCTGAGCTCTTGATTCCTCATCAATGAACTGAGACACAGTCTTGACATAGCCCGAAGTGTAAGTTCTTGGAGCACTCTAGTTCTCAACGAATGATCATTTTATTCTCTTCCTGTTCAGATCCCGTTCCTTCATCCTGGGTTCTTAGCTTCCTGCCTAATTAGCTGGATTTTGACAATTGGTTGAGACAGACCTGGTCCTCCCTTTCCTGACTTTTCCTCCTGGGAAAGTGGATGGATAAACCTGGAGGAACTGTTCTAAGAGTAGCCAGTTCAATGTCAGAACCCATGGGCTGCCTTGGGCTCTCTACAGTGACCTCGGAAGCCTCCTCTTTGCCTCTTGGGGAATGCAGGCAGTATTTTTTGGTAAGTTACTTCTCAACACATCAGTTATAACATGAATAATCCTAGTACTAGTTAAAAATGCCCTTATATCCACTTTTCAGGTTGACGACAACCTTATGTACTACTACTCTTATTATTAGCAGTACCACTTTTATTATTATATTATCACTACTCTTATTATTACCTCCATTTTATGGATGAGGAGACTGATGCTCAAAGAAGTGTCTGGCAAGGCCACGCAGTGAGGACATTTAAGGACAAATAAGAACCCAGAACTATGGCTTCATAACCCATTTTCTCTGCTATACCTCGATGACACCCTGCCCAGCTGTGGCTTGCCTGACTTCTTCCCTTTCTGCCCTTTCTCCCCTTTCTTCTTTGTCTTTATCAAATTTACTCTGGGCTGCACTGGATGTGTTCCTGGGAGACACACAGAAGTGTAAGACAAAAGCGTTGCTCTGGAGGAGCTTGCAAACGTGTGGCTTAGACAAGAAGATGCCAGCCAACTTCTTGTCTGTGTCCTTGTAGGGTCACCTCCTCTGAGATGCCTCCCCTGATCTTCCAAGTCTGATGCCTCCTCTGAGCTCTGCAGGTCATAAGGGGGTCATGCATACTACTGTGCTGTCACTGCTCTGGTACCTTCAGCCCCACTTCAGCCTCTGGTCCTGGAGGGTAGCATCACAGTGGCCCACTCATGTGTTCTCAGTTCTCAGAAGGGGTAGAGTATAGAGTGAGTGTCAGGGGTGTTGCAACTTGAGCCCCACCCAGTCTTTTGGGACCGCATCAGCAGTTTTCATTCCAATCCTTAAGAAA